CGTCATCGATCATTTGCAGAGGCCTCTCCAGAGCACTCGGCGACATGGCGATACCAAAACGGGGGGAGCCTCCCACTTCTCTTCCACCTCTGGTTCTGGATCCTCCACCACCGGTTCCATCTCCACATCGATAGACTCCTTACACATCAGGTCCAGCATGTCTGGGGGAACCACAATGGGGTCTGAAGCCGAGTCGCCCACCAAACGTCCTCCATTAGCCAGCCTCTTTTGCTTCAGCTTTTCCAGTCGAGCGTGCTCCTGGTTGCGGATGGACCAGCGGCGATCACCATCTCTATAACTCATAGCTCCGTGCCTTCGAAAATGAGGGGTAATTGTGATTTACACCAACCGTGAAGGGTCCTTATATAGCCCAGTGAAAGCAAATATATAGGCGGTAATCACGGAAGGAATCGTAACTGACATAACTGAGCCGGATTAGACGGATGACGCGAATCTCTGTCAGAGATTAGTTCCATCAAATCCGCCTGGGAAGAGTGAAATTCGCACGCCGCGCAGAGAAAATTAGATTCACCCGAGATACGGGGAATCTTGCAGATCTCAGACTGAAAAAGGACTGACGACCCGACCGACTCCTTGACCAGTCGTCCGGAGGGGTACACGACAAAACACGAAATATGAGACAGGGCGAAAATAGCATTTTATTGGCAAAGGAAGAAGGGTACAAGTAGTGAGGAGCTTATTACAATAAGGATAATGAAAATGCTCCTAAAGAAGACCCCTCTGAAATATGAGGCCGACCCCGGCCTAGATAATCACTCGCTAGGGGTGGAGGAGTCGCTTCCAAAGAACCTTCCCCCCGATGGTCCAGGTGGAGAGGGGCAGAACGAATCCCAGAAAGAAGGCATGAGCGGTAGATCCACAGGCTCCTCGTCATCAGGGTATGCCTTCAAGTAGCGAGTGTAGTCCTCATCATCCATCAGACCCGTGACAGGCCCGTCGGGGTCGTCCAGAGGAATAGAGAACGTCATGCGAAAAGTCAATTGTTCAGGGACAGCCACCTCCACAAAGGATCCATCTGGAGAAGTCACCCTGGCAGTTGTTGGAGTCGGCGGACGAAGCAAAGGCGGCACGACTTCTCGCTGAGGAGGGGTCGGCGGCCGAGAAGCTGAGGAGGTGGTACCAGCAGGAGATCTCCGAGGAGTCGGGCGAGAAGCTTTTTTCTTGCCTTCCCTCTCAGGTCGAGTCCGCTTCGAAGAAAGGGGACGTCGAGGAGAACCGAAATCGATTCGCTTCCCTTTTAGAGGTGAGCGACCCATGATGGACCAGTGAAGGAGACAAGAAGAGTAAGAGACCTTTTATAGGTGCCAAGTCAAGCGGGGAGGATCCAAACGGTCCCACAAAATCCGGGCGTTATAAAGGCACGGATACGGTGATTGAAGGAGACGGACAGTTACTACTTTTCCAAACCCGGGTTAGCAGACCGGGTATGGAAAAGTGAGGGACTAGTTGATGGGGTGAGAACCCCGGCCCAAGAAAGATTGGCCCAAAGAAGAGAGCCCAAGACAAGAAAAGTGGGCTAGCATCGGGAGAAGCCCGGAGAGTGCTTGGGCCGAGTCCAGGGATCGGCCCAGGCCCAAGTACGGGGACCTAGCTCAGGATTGCTAAGAAGGGCCCAGCAAGAGCTTGGGTCGAGGGCGAGGAGTCGGCCAGGCCCCAAGCCCAGAGAAAGACTCGGCTCAAGGAGCCGTTGAGATCATCAAAGATACTCTTAAATAGGGAACCGTTAGGGCATTAAAAGGCCGGACTTGGTCCGGCTGTTACGAGCTTGAAAGAGCCGTTGGCCGACTCAGTAAAGGCGACCAACGGCTCGATACTTTAATTAGTCTTGAAGTCGGCTATTAAGGGCCTTCAAGTCAGTGGGGGAGGAGCCGCTATATAAAGGCTCCTCCACTCTTGTAGAGGGGACACAGAGAGGAGGACCCAGAGAGGGGAGAGAAGAGATTCTAAACAAAAGCATTTTCTTTCTTTCGAGACACAAACTTTATTGAAAGGTGTATCCTCTAGCTAAAGGTTGTGTTAGACCTCCTTGGGCCCGAAAACCCAAAAACCATCAATGTGCAACTTCATGTCATGTACTATAATATCTAAACATATGAAATACAAACACAAATCCAAACACAATTAAAAATGTGTTTTTTAAATTTTTTTGCAACATTTCTTTTCCTTTGTCTTCACTTCTTTTTCCTTAGCAATGACGTCTAACATGGCCTTTAATTTCTCAATTTCTTCTTTGTCTCTATTTATCTTCTTCAACAAGCCCAGTATTATGCTTGCCCTTGGACACAATGGAGGATCTTCCCAATGAAAAAAATCACATCCCTTCCTTCCCTAAAATCAAAACAAGAAAAAATTGCCAGAACAATGCTCATATTCATCTTCCAGAATTGCGAAAGAAATTAAAACCACATAAATAATAGAAACAAAATACTCACCGATGATTCATCACAATGCCAAAACCAGGATTGCGATCCGTCCAAGAAGTCCGAATTACATGCTCATTCCCACATTCACACTCTCGCATATCTATGGATTCCCCAACATTATGGTCCTGTTTGGTAAAAAAATTGGCCTATAGGCCAATTTTAGCTTATTTGACCACTATTAATTGTTTGATTTAGTTAAAATATCAATATAAATGTTTAGTTAATTAGCTTTTTGCAACTCCAAAAGGCTAAAATTCAAAAAGCTACTCCAAGCAACTTTTTCAATTAGTTTTTTGAGAAAAAAGAAATTATACCAAACAGCTATCAGCTAACAGCTAATTTACCAAACACTTTTTTACAATCAGCTAATGTTATCAACTATTTATACCCTCTAATTAACACAATTAGCTAACAGCTAACAGCTAACAGCCATTTTACCAAACAGGGCCTATATCTTCTCCTTATACTACTCGAACCAGAAGACATTATTGGTCAAGAAATAAGAAGAACAAATACCCAGAGTTGATACGAAGAAGAAGATGATGAAATGGATTAGGGCAAAGCTTATGTCAAAAGAACGGAAGAACACATCCTTTATTCGGACCAGACTAACACTACTCGGAAGAGAATTTTGTGAAATGACTTATATACCCTCGCATTTCACTACTCAGACGGAAAAGACTAACGGCGGGACGGTTTATGGTCATTTTTGAAACATGGAGGATCCAAAATGGTTGATTCGAAAGTTTAGGACCATAGGTGACGAAACCACTATACTCGAGGGGCCTTGGCTGATATTTACTCTTATAAATAATATTTGTCTCACATTAAAAAGGAATATAGATATGCACTAATACAAATACAATTTAACTTTTCAAAAAGTTTAAATTATAAAGCATAGAAATTTTCTCACCCGAACTAGAACTTGTGTGCATCATAATTTGGAAGAGTTTATTTTTATTCAAAGGTCATTATCCTAAGAATAAATTGCATATTAACATTCTCGACCAAACATGATCATCTTCTAGAAAGCCTTAGACATGGGCACGTGGCGCTTGCTAAGTTTTGATGCTTACGGAAATTGAAATTTGAAGACCTACTTGGGTCATTTCATAGCGTTGTTTGTTTGCTTGGTTATTTTTTATAATAATCTTCCAATGCACAAAAATATTGTGTTATTGTATTACCATTAACGGTTTTAAAATATTGATGTGATTTTATGAATGCAATAATGCAAATACTACCAAAACATTTTGATTTGATTTCCTAATTCAATCTTCAAAATTCTTTTATTAAAATGTTACATTTTGATTCCAAAAAAAAAAAAAAAAAAATTACAATAATTTTATGATATTGATGAATCATATGATTTATTACATCATTGATTTGTGTACTTCTCATTATTTAATGGTAAATTCTCCTAGGATCGGTAAGGCGGGTATACTTTGTATAAGTATTATATTTTTTTACATAAATATTATAATTTTCATCATAAATAACTTTTCAATTCCTAATATTACATTTTGATTTAAAAATATTACATTTTTCATCAAAAGTATTACACTTTTCCTTAAGTATTACACTTCTCTCATAAATAACAATTAAAGAATTTATCAATGATTAGTATTACAATTTTTCTATTTTTTCTCAAAAATATTACACTTTTTCTCTATAAGTAATAAAGAATTTATTCCTTATTAATATTAAATTTCCCGGTATAAGTATTACGTTTTTATCGTGATCCGACTCGTCACTGAACTATCGGTTACATTCTATACTTTTTCAATCTTGTTCAACCTAAAGAATCAATATAATGCATGCCCCAACCACCGAGGTTCGATCACTAGTGGAAATTATGGAATTTCCGACCACCTAAAAATGATCTTAAATCAAGTTGATACCAAAAAGTGGTCGGAAATAGCAACAAATGTTTTTCCGAAGACCAAAAGTGGTCGGAACAAGACTTTTGACTTGATTTAAGACCACTTTCAGGTGGTCGGAAATTTCATAATTTCCAATAATCGATCATGTGACCACCCGTTTGAAATAATAACAGTACCATCTCACTACATAGGATGTAGTTGACACTAAATATGGGTATAATACATGTTCAGTGTTATAGTTAGATTCGCATTGTTGTAAATTCTATTTTCATCAAGGAAAGGGCTAAACAATGTGAATTGAAAGTAACGATGAATAATGATTCAAGATTTAAAGACTTTTCTTTGCTCAAATTTTCTATACGTACCAAAATTTGTGAACACGACCTATTGGCTATTATTAAATTCCTCAGATTTTCTTTGATTATTATCATACTCTCCCACCATTCATGGTGATTAAATGTACAGAAGAAGAAAACTGATAGGATGAGATAGAAATGACCCGGTGCAGTAGTAATCGTCGTATATATTTAAATATTTAATTACTTGTGTTTTTTTCTTTGTCCTAATTTTGTTGTATTAGTCCTAATTTTATACAGAGTATTTGACCCGTAACAGACTTTGGCGTTGCTAGGCTTCGAGTTTGCCTATAAAACCAGCAACAAATGTACATTGGTGCATCATTTCAATTACCTCGTATATGGCTCTGCAACATCCCCTATTGCCTTGCAAATCTTCCATGGCTCTCATTCTCCTATTCATTGCGTTGCTACACATAACAGGTCCTTCTCTATCTCTCATGCATCTTACATTTTAGGGAAGAAAAAATGGGCTTCACATGCTCGCTTACATGTACAGTTGATTATTGATGTAAAAACGAATGACGTATTTTGTCTCAACTAAATGTCTAAATTGATGATTGAACATCATATTTACTATTTATATATTGGCGGTGTTTAGTAAATATAGTTGTTAGCTGATTGGTTAGTGAGTTTGACTAGCTGATTGTAGAAAGATGTTTAGTAAATTAGATGTTAGCTGATAGTTAATTACATATAAAATGACTTTATCAAAAAACAGATCGAAAAAGCTAGTTTTTTTGAACAGCTTTTCGAATTTTAGTGTTTTGGAGCAATGAGTTGTTACAAAAAACCAATTAATCAAATACTCATATTGATTGTTTAACCAAATCAAACACTTAATAGTGGTTAAACAAATCAAAATTGGTTGATAGGCTAACTATTTTACCAAATATGGCTATTGTATGCTTAACATAGACGTATAACACTTGGGTTGCACTCCCATATAGAAGGATATGGTTCGAGCCTCAGTGAAAACTGAGATACTACATTGTAATAGAATCAGTTGCATTCAAAAAAAAAAAAAAAAAAAAAAAAAAAAAAAAAAACCATAGACCGTATGGGTATATGTTAAAAGACAAAACCTTATCTCTTTTATTGTTGACTTCATTTTTTTTTTTTTTTTGAAAGTTACTGGCTCTATTACATTGTAGTATCTGTTCATATACTTTCTCAACCTACTGAAACACAAAGAACCAATAACGCCTCCACTGAGGCTTGAACTCATAATCTTCCAAATGGAAGTCCAACCCGGATACCATTAGACCACATAGTCCTGGTTGTTGACTTCATTTAATTATCTTTAGATTCATAAATTTTCAAAATAAAATAACGGAGAACTATTTCTGCTGTGTGCAAGAATGAGCTTTGAAAAGTACAAAATTGTGTCAGTAATGTTTTTTTTGAATGTTACACCTACTGAAACACAAAGAACCAATAACGCCTCCACTGAGGCTTGAACTCACAACCTTCCAAATGGAAGTCCAACCCGGATACCATTAGACCACATAGTCCTGATAATTGTGTCAGTAATGTATTGATTCTTTAATTTAAATTTTAATGCATATATAGTCGGTATCACACCACTTTGGGTCGCACTTGTACAAGATATTCTCATGAATCCTTATCAATAACTCTATAAGACATCAAATACAAGCCCTCCCATTTAACTAATTGTTGAGTCACTATAATTTATTACCTCTCAAAATTTTATCTGATCAGAGTGGATTTGGAAATGAGAGATTGTCTCTTTTTATTTTATTTTATTTTTTTTTGAATTAGACTACAAAGTGTTTTAATAGACTCTAATTATAAGAGTCATTTTTAAACCCGTAATATACTCTGACTAATCCCCGTTCTCACAAAACCTGCTGAATTAAAGGTGGTCATATTGATTTTTTCATACAATCCATTTGATTGTGTTTTGCAGGAGTACAATCCATTGGTGTTTGCTACGGCAAGAACGGCAACAATTTACCATCGGACACCGACGTGATCAACCTCTACAAGAGCAATGGCATCCGAGGGCTGCGACTCTACGACGCCGACCCCAGCGTCCTCAACGCCCTCCGGGGAACCAACATCGAAGTCATCCTCGACGTCTTCAACGACAAGCTCCAAGCCCTAACCGACCCGGCCCGAGCCCGAGACTGGGTCCAGACCAACATAGTCTCCTTCCCGGACGTCAACTTCAAATACGTCGCCGTCGGGAACGAGGTCTGGGCCGGAAACCCCAACACGGCGCAGTACGTCAACTCCGTCCTCCCCGCCTTGAGAAACGTGCACGCCGCGCTCTCCGCCGCCGGGTTGCTCGGCAAGATCAAGCCCTCCACCGCCACCTACTCGGCGGTGTTGGACAACACATTCCCCCCAAATCAAGCCGTGTTTAAGGGCGACGCCCAGGGGCTAATGAACCCCCTCGTCCAATTCCTCGCCCAGAACAACCTCCCTTTACTCGCCAACATTTACCCTTATTTCAGCCACAAAGACAACCCCAATCAAGTCCCCCTCCCCTACTCTCTATTCACCGAGCCCAACCCCAACTCCGCCGGCTACCGCAACCTCTTCGACGCGCTCCTCGACTCCATGTACGCCGCCGTCCAGAAGGCCGGCGGTCCCAACATACCCATCGTCGTCTCGGAAAGCGGCTGGCCGTCCGACGGCGGCTTCGCGGCGACGGCGCAGAATGCTGCCACGTACTATAGCAATCTCATTTCACATGTTAAGGGAAATTCTGGGACTCCGATGAAGCCTGGAAGGTCAATTGAGACTTTCCTTTTTGCCATGTTCGATGAAAACCTGAAAGGCGGTGATGAAGTGGAGAAGCATTTTGGGGTGTTTCGTCCAGACAAGACTCCCAAGTATCAGCTCAACTTCAACTGATAAGCTCTTAATGAATAGTACAATAATAATAATAATATAGGGGAGAAAAATAAGTTTCCAAACTGTACTTCCCTACAGAGAATAAGAGATTGGGCAATAAAAATTTGAGTACTCTATAGATTAAACATATATACATGGTGTAATAATGTGTTTGAGCTATAAACTTCCCTTATTTCCATTTTAATTTGTCCATCAGCTATAGTGATTTTTATACTCATACAAGAGATTTGGTTGGAGGGAGGGAATTTGATGAAAAAAAATTACAATTTTAAGAGAAAGAAATAATATGAGAATAAATTGAGAATTAAATCTCAATATTTTATTTGAAAAGAGATTAGTATAAAATCCAAAATATCATCATCATTATTATTATTATAAAGGACAAGTATCTCATGGACCTATGTACATATTCGAACAAAAAAAAAAAACAAATAAATAAATAACATATTCAAATGCTACTCATCTACACTATCTCTTGAATAGGATAGACTATAATTAATTTTTATATATGTAAATACTTTGTGAAATGTTAAGCTTCATATATAAGGTCACATCCAAAAATACATCATAAAAATAAAAGTTCACAATCTAATTAAACATAATAAAATGTTAAGTTTTTTAAAAGCTTACATTCAAAAACATCATATACTGAAAGGGTTCATCACACTATGATAAAAAATGAGAGGTCGCACATCAATTTTAGTTTTTTTTTTTTTAAAGAGAGAGAGAGAGAGAGAGAGAGAGAGAGAGAGAGAGAGAGAGATGTGTAAGTTTGTCTCATTGCACTGCTAGAAATCGCCAATTTTCCGATCACCGAAGAGTGGTCAGAAATAGCCAAAATTCGGTCGAAAACACTTATTCCGACTATTTTGGGGATGCGGAAAGACCCTCGTCGGTATTTTCAACCACCACATGAGGTGGTATAGCATCCACAATTGTAAGGTGGTCGGAAGGTTTGGTCGGGTTGAAAAAAATGCATTTTCGTGTTTTTCGACCACTAGGTGGTCGGAAAATAATGAAGTAAAAAAAAAGAGGAAAAAAAAAAAAAAACACATTTCGGACCACCAACTGGTGGTCGAAAAATAATGATTATAATTAAAAAAAAAAATCTACAAAAGCATTATATTATGAAAATGTCATAGTAATTCACTATTTGCACAATTTCACAATTGTATGTTGTTGTATACTATAGCACTCAAATTAAATGAATCTCAAATGTATTTAACCAACAACTGGAGCAATTTGTAGCTGGTAAGAGGCATATTTGATCCTTAGCTTTAGCAATTTGTAGATGGTAAAAGGCATCTCTGTTTGGTAATCTACAATGTTCAAAGATCAGTATGATTGACAACAGATTTTTAACTTTTTTTGTGCATGCTACTAATAATCTGGAAAAAGAAATTGGTAGTAACATAATTATTAAATAGAGAAAATTTCAATTTTGGTCCACTGACTATTGGAGGTGTGTTAATTGCAACGCTTGACTTTCAAAAATGTTAATTGAGTACCTTGACTATGCAATTTCTATCAATTTTGGTCACGCCGGTCAAATTGCCAGCGAAATCTCACCGGAAAAATTTAATAGGGCAAATAATGAGGGTATTTTAGTCATTTTACTCATGTTCTTTCTTCTCCGATGAACTTCCCTCCATTTTCGGCGAGATTCCTTCTCCGATAAGCTTGTCTTTGATTGCTTCGTATCAACCTTCCCTATCGAGAATCATTGTGCTGCTCTTTCTCTTCATCCTAACCTGGTCAACATCATCAGAATCACTGTGCTGCTCTTTCTTGGTGACAAAATTGAATCATTGTGTTGCTCTTCATCCTCACCTGGTCAAATAAAATCAAATGGTGACAAAATTCAAAATGGCTAAACATTTGAACCAATGTTAGTCGACATTCTCTCTCGCTTTCACCCTTTTTCCATGTCTGCGAAGAGAGACAGAGGGGTAAGGTCAGAGAGAGAAGACAAGATTGAAAATTTGGAAGTGTGAGAGTTTAGAGGTTGGCTTTACTTTTGCTTTAATTATTATATCAACGAACTCCCATTACCCAAATCTCATCACATACATTTTTCTTCTTCCACAAAATTTAGGAGAACGAAGGTTGTTGGTCGCCGGAAATGGAGAAGAAGCTCACCGGAAATGGGGAAGCTCAGGGGAGAAGAATGAAAAAATAAGTAAAATGACTAAAATACCCTAATTATTTGTCCTGTTAAATTTTTTCCGGTGAGATTTGGCCGGCGTGACCAAAATTGATAGAAATTGCATAGTCAAGGTACTCAATTAACATTTTTGAAAGTCAAGTGTTGCAATTAACACACCTCCAATAGTCAGTGGACCAAAATTGAAATTTTCTCTTATTAAATAAATACTACCCTCTATCTTGCAGAATATAAGAATTGAAAAAGAAATTTATTTCAACATGTAGCAACTATATCACAAACTACAGCATATTTATATACTCATGTATCACATATATTACTTAGTTCCTAGACATCTATAGATTGGACTCTCACCTGAATGTGTCCTAATTTCCTCTGTTCGGTGAGCATACTTCAAAGTGTTAACAGTATGGCGATACTAACTATCTGCGGGAGATATGGTGACGATCATTATTGTCTGAGAATTACCACTTAGACCATCTTTAAGAATACATGTTCCCTTCTTTGATTTATCATGATTAACAGTACAAGGTAAACACACAATTAATTCAAAGAATAGAAATTTAAACATCAAACTGATTCAGACAAATAGCTATCCGTAAACAGGAAACAAGATTATGTAAATATAAATGACCTTAAAAGAAAATCAAGAGAATGACTCAAGGAACTTTCAGGAAAAATGTTTTTAAAAAATTGTGAAAGAATAGTGTTATCTTTTTTTTGTCTTCCTAAATTCATTGAATTCTAATTCTATGAAAATCAGAGAATTTCAATTCCCTCCAACTAAACGCTCTGTTAGTATTATTATCTTGATCACTTTTGATCTTTTAGTTTTTCTAAACTTTTGTGCAGGTCAAATTAGTTTTTCCATACAAGAGAGGGTTCGAACTCCCAACACACGATCACTCACACCAACAAAGTTAGTTAAGACATTTTGAACTCAATTTGATTGATTTAGAAAAATAATCAAAACACATAAAACAATCAAGTTAAGAGTAATGAATAAAGGTGAAAATACGAATATGATTGAAATGATATTAGTATATTCATAACTCAAATATATGGTCAAGTGATCTTAATCTTTAATTTATTAGTGAAATGATGAAGAATAAAGTCTTTTTCTGGTTACCAGGACTATGTGGTCTAATGGTATCCGGGTTGGACTTCCATTTGGAAGATTATGAGTTCGAGCCTCAGTGGAGGCGTTATTGGTTCTTTGTGTTTCAGTAGGTTGAGAAAGTATATGAACAGATACTACAATGTAATAGAACCAGTAGCTTTCAAAAAAAAAAAAAAAGTCTTTTTCTGGTTATTTGATATCAAATATCACTCCACGTGAAGAGTTTGAAAACGCGGTAAGAAAGTCTTTTGGTGTTGCGACTTGCGACCAATTCTATGATGAATCAAATCACACTCATAATGATGATGGATTAATGAAATTCATTATATTTGTCTTAAAAAATCATTTCTTAAATTAACATACGGTTAAATTAAGTTACTATATTAGCTTAATTTTTAATAGAGTTAATTATCAAAATGGTCCCTTGACTAAGTGAAATTATCAATTTGGTCCTTGATTATTTTTTTTGACCAATTAAGTCCCTCAACTTTAAAAGTTTTAACCAATTTGGTCCTCCGTTTGTTTGACCGTTAACTTGGGACCAAATTGGTAATTTGCTATAGTCAATGGACCATTTTGGTAATTAACTTTATGGTGGGCAATTCGGTTCAGTTTTCTCGAACCGAACCGTACCAAACTAGTTAGATACGGTAATATACCGAACAACCGAACGGTTCGGTAAAAACTCGAACCGAACTAAATTTGTTCGGTAAAAACCAAACCGAACCGAATATTGTTTGAAGTTCGGATTGCTATTTTGTTATATATTAGACTTTGGATATGGATTATGTAAACACCATAACACATAATATAGAACTTTTGATAACAAACCATAAAGAAATCAAATAAAACATTTACGAGAGATACCCGTGAGAATATGAGCTGAACGACAGAGCAAGCAGTAAGGGACTTGGATTTACTTTTTATTATTATTATTATTATTTATTATTATTATTATTATTATTATTATTATTATTATTATTATTAAAAATCAAACAGTACTCAGTTCAGTTCAATTTTTACCGAACAATTTGGATCAGTTTTTTATCGAACCGTTCGGTATACAAGAATCCAATACCGTTCGATTGTTCGGTATATTACCGAAACAAATTAGTTCGGTTCGGTCTGGTATGGTTCAATTCGAGAAAACAAAATCGAATTGTCCACCCCTAAAGTTAATTACTAAAATAGTCCATTGACTATAGCAAAATTACCAATTTGGTCCCAAATTAACGGTTGACTAACGGTCAAACAAACGGAGGACCAAATTGGTTAAGTTTTTAAAATTGATGGACTTAATTGGTTAAAAAAAAATAGTCAAGGACCAAATTGATAATTTTGCTATAGTCAAGGGACCATTTCGGTATTTAACTCTTTTTAATATATTATTTATCTTTAAAATATTATAAGTTCATTTTTACTGCACTAATACAAATACATATATTATATTAATAAATATTAAATAAGTTCATTAATCAAACAACAGGTTCATTTTCAGAATTCTAATATAACTGTATTATAATGATAGATGATTTATTAATTAATGAAATGCTACAAGGTCTTTTTCACAATATTGGTGGTTCATTAAAGAATAATTACAATACTGATGAATATTTACATTTACAATAATAATGCAATTATTTATAATAATAATAATAATGAATCTAAAATAGTTCATTAAGAGAATATTGGAGGTTCATTTTTACAATGCAGAAGGTTCGTTTTATCAATATATATTCGAAGTCCATCAATAAACTAATTAAGATTAAAAAAATTATTAATATGAGTGATGGTTTTAGGGTTTTTCGAGCCCAAGGAGGTCCAACACAACCTTTAGCTGGAGGATACACCTTTCCCAA